TTCCCCCCCCCCCCCCCCCTCCCCAAGACGACAAGCGTTTTGGGCTGTGGTTTTGGTTTTTAAACCCCGTGCATATCACTTACTGTATCTGCATATCTGCGTACCTCAGACTCTGCATTTCTTTTTGGTAGCTGTCACACTAGTATCATAAACCAGTCTGTAGGCAAGGATAATGGGACTCCTGGCAGATGTTAAATGCCACCCGGTGAAGGAGGGGGGCACGTCGGAGATGGGTGGTTTCCAGCCAGTAGACTTTCCTTGGACGGTATCTTGGTGATCTGGGGAAAGTGACTGAGCGAAGTAGACTGGTGATCTCAGCACACCTTTTGCAGTCTCTAAACTGGCTTATGCCATATGAAGGGTCCACAAATTGGAAAAGGTCCACAACTGTTATCGTCACCACCAAGGACATCCGTCTATGCCTTGTCTTAATGTCTGGCACATTCCTTACAAGGCAACTTTGTTACTTGGCTATCAGTAAACAAACTCATTTAGGTGGGCACAAAGTATCTGGCTTTTTTCTCCCCTTATGAAACTTTGAACTGAAGTTTGTTCAGTCCTTGGGACTGAGGTAGGATGGGGAAGGGGAGACTCTTTCTTACATGCTTTGGTGTTCTTGTAATTTTGTTTCAGGCAGGTGCTTGAAGTTGGAGATCATGTCATCCTTCTTAGAGAAGCCGTTGTGTGCTGGCTGCACTGAACATGGGTTATCTTTGCAGAGAGAAATACGTGAGATTTTGGCAGGGAGGTGTCACGTATGTGCATCTGGCCAGCAGGGCTGATGTGCTGAACACCACGACTGAGAACAGGGACTGACTCTGCAGCCAGTAGAGCTGTTACCCCACAAAAATGGGACTGGAAGTCGGGAGTCCCAACTCCTGGCATTCTGTGCTGTTTTGCAAGTAGCTACTCTTAGGACAACTTTCTAGCAGATCTGCCAAAGAAAATCATGTAGAAGTTGTCCCGTACCTCATCTGATGGAAAAAAACCACAAATAGAAGCCGTCTGCACAGTTGGGATCCTTATAATAAAGGATGGTCTAACGAGGTTCCGTATGAACAGAATTTTGCTGTCCAGTCTTTATTTTGTTAAAAAGGCTAAAATTTTAAGAGTTCTGGATATACTAAGATTCTACTCCAGTTTTCCTTGTGTATTCTGTATTTACTGCTATGGCGTCTTTATCTTTTTTCCCCCAGATGACCCTTACTGGTTAGAATAGACCCATTTTGGTGAAGACTCGAACTGTGCAAACCGCGTAGCAAAGACGGTTCTTTCCAGCTGCACCGGGAAGGCGTGCGGTGGAGGAGGCAGACGAGAGACGGGCGCGTTCTCGCCGCTAAAGCGGGTCTGTGTTGCTTCTGGAATGGGAGCCCCATCTTGCCCCTGCCATACAGTTTCCTCCCGGCCAGGCCATGCGCCCGCTTGCACAGGGTCCCCGTGAGATCTCCAGGTTCAAGCAGAAACAGAGACTGCCGGTGGGGAGAGTTTCCCACGTGCCGTCTGGTTGCAGGAGGGCTCTGCTCTCTGCGTATATCGCGCTGTGACAGCTCAAGTTAGGTTCTTGACGCGCTCAAGTATCCCAGCGTGGCGTTGGTTCCCTGCACGTAACAGAGTGAGAATATGCTCACTTCCCAAGAGGTGGTACGGTTCCTCTTGGAACAAAAACCCTCACACCTTGATGCAGCTGCCACTGGGTACTTGTGAAAAAGATGGATACAAAGTTTTCATGTCCAGTTAAGGCTTAACTGAAGCTGCAAAACTGTGAACAGCCACTCATCACAGTAAATGGGGTTGGGGGCTTGGCGGGGAGAAGAGCGTGAATTTGCAGCTATGGTTTTATGGGCTGGTATCAACTGATTTAAGGTTTCTAAAGTAACCATGCTTCCTTTGTTTTGAGGCGTTTGACTTGGTAACTCTTAAATACAGTCCCAAGAGAGAACACTTGAGATAATCAAGCCTCGACACTTCATGCTTCTGGAGGGCATCTAGGAGTCCTCAAATGACTTTGTTAAAACCACTTCTCCCCGATAGATGCAGTTGGCCTGCAAATTTACATTTCGGCAATTTAGCTGAAATACTGAAACATCAAATGTGAGATGAATGGGAACTTACGTTCTTGAGTATACTACACTCAAATGGGGGGAAAAAAGCGTATTTGTCTAAAGGGGTGAAAAATGTTTGCTAGAAAAATAACAATTAAGAGGTAGCCTAATTCTCCATTACTGGAACTAAGTGGTACTCGGCAAGTTTTTCTACTGCATAAAGGATTTGATGTACTATTTCTATAATAACCCTGTCTAAGTAGAGAGATGGGTGCTGAGGAGCTGTTCCGTAGTGTACTTTGTCACCAAGCCCTTCTGCTGACCAGTTCACTTCTGTGAGTGGGGCTGATGGTTCAGACCATCTCAGCAGCTCAGACAGCAGTAGTCAAGCTGTTCTAGAACCAGGAACCCCAGGTGTGACCTGTTCTGAGGAGAAACCCGACTCTTATTTAAGAGGAGCTGCTGCTTCTCAAAGAGGCTCCCATGGCACTGGTAACCTTACGGCAAAGGGATGGGTTTATAGCCAGATGTTTTTCCTAGCTCTGCCTGTCTCTATTCTATTTCCCCTGCACGTGTTTGATGTGTTTCAACAGGAGTCTAATCACACTCGGAAATACTGTTTACAGGTGAAGAGAGAACAGTAAGCTACTGCAAACTTAATTGCACTTTTAGCCTGAATTTAGTCATCGTGGCTTGTTAATGATGCTTCAGGAGCCTTTAACAAAATTCTTGGGCTATGTTCTTGAGGCAATGCACCGGACTAACCTGATTTTGAAAAAGGTGATAAAATAGCGTTGTGTAGTAGTTCCTGAAAACACGTTTAGAAAGAAAAGTTGCTGGGGAAAAGAAATCCCCTCATCTTTTCCTAAGAGCATTCTGGAGATAGCAAGCTGCAGACCTGTAGACTAGGAGTAGATTAAAAAAAAAGGAAATTTTTACCTTAGAGGATAAGTAAGACCTCTTACCCTATGCTAATTTATTCCTTGCAACTTGTACTGGTAAGAATCAGGTAACAGGATAAGGTGCAGTCTAGTAATAGAGAAATCTTGGGAACTTTAGTTTCTCATTCTGCTACAGCTTCCTGTGACCTCAGATAAAGTTCAGCTGGTTCCCCTTTTATATGAATACCTTCTAAATAAATGTATTCCCATACAGGTATGTAAATATTTTTTTGTGATGAGCATAGGTAGAACATAACATGAAATATACCTGCCAGGTGTATTAAAATCATGCCGGGTAACTTAAGGAAAGCAAAGAGTCAGTGCTGTTTCCAAGCCTGGGACAGGGAAATTTTCATCAGTCTGAAAAGCATGAAGTAGTTAGGTCCTCAGCATCTTTTTAACTGTCAAGGGGACAAGGCTGTAGAGCCCTTCACCAAGTTAATACCGTCAGCACAGAAGGGATCTGTCCTTCTGTCCATCTTTATTAAGGAGACAGAGCTAAATCTCTTTCTGCACGAGTCCTGCACGCATCCGGGCCTACTCGCTAGAAGACTTCCCCTACAAACACATTGTTAGCATCTCAGCTTTACACTAGCATATCCATAGACTAAGACTTAACACCACTAGTACAGCCGTTGGGAATAATGTTCACAGACTAATTTTTTTTTTCTTTTTATTTCTGTAAAAGATGTACATATTTATCAAGAGACACAGTTCCACTACTTTCCAGGAGCATGTGATAGACAGGAATTTTCTGGGCCATATGGTTGTTGTGGTCTTGTCAGTTTCTTTCTTCACGAGTTCATTCCATCCTCAGAAAACTACCCTTGCAAGCTCAAATAGAACCTGTGGAATAGCAAACACACCAATACGAATTCTTATTTGATTTAATAATGCTTAAAACAGCTTACAATGTAAACAAGATAATCTGAAAAATAACTATAGCTGCAAGTCAAAAGTTACTTGCAAAGAACTGAAGACTAATCCCCTTGTACCGTACGTTACATTAATAAAATAATCTTGATTCTCAGATTATGAAGTATATAAATTGCACTTGTTATTACATTTTCAATGTGATAGTGGAAAAAAACCCCACGAACCTCTATGGTGATGAGTATTACTATCATCCACTCGAGGCGCAGAGTGTGCTTTTCGTTCAGGTGATTTCGCATTAGGTCTGTCAGCTCCATGCAGTGCTGAAGCTTTTCATTCATTACCTGCAAGAGATTCCAAATATATGGCAAATCTGGATTCCTAAGTGGAATGAGATTGCTAAAGAAAAGAAACACAATCCACAGAAGGGCTCACTGAACAGAACTAGAAAGGCGAAAGAATAGAACAGAAAGTCCTGTAAGGCCACATGCACAAGCAACAGAAGTTTCACTGCGAGTCTATTATTTCAATAGGTTCAGAAAAATAACAGAAATTTAGATATGCATCTGCAGGTATTAAACTGCTTCTGGGTGGTATCTACTCATGAAAACAGGCACAAGCAAAATTAGATGCAGCTAATTGGAATGCCTCAAAAGTAGCTAAATATTTAAGGTTGCTGTACCACGACCTGAATGACCATGTCAATAAGACAACTGCTTCACATCTCAATTTTTTAACTTGTTTTCTTGCACACATTTCAGAAAAAGAATTAAATCTCCTCTTCTTATAACTGCATAAAGCCTAATTTAGTGGCTCAGGAAATAAGCAATCGATTCATGTGAGGCAGGGCTGTTAACCTAAACTGGGTAAAAGATGCGAGTGGGTTACGAACACATGGAGAAGGGGACAGTGTATGGGATCCTATTATTTTTTATTCAGTTTCCACAATTAGAACAGGCATTTGTGGAGTGGTTTGTAACCTTGCTGAGCCAAAGACAGCTGATCTGAGTGTGGAAAATTCTCCTAGCAGTAAGACACCCACCTTAACTCGGCGATTAATGTTGAGAAACTGGCAAGTTTTGTCGTAAAGCTCTTCCAGTTTTTCTCTGTCCCAGTAGAAGTCAGGTGTTATTAGCAGGTCTGAACTCAGATTTATACGGTGCCTAAAAAGAACGGGTACTACAATAGTTCACACTTCCCTTTGGTGAATATAGGAGCAAATATTTACATAGCAGTTAGAAGAAACAGGAGAATTTTCCTGTAAGTTTTAAGTAAAATGTGAAAAGAATCTCCTTTCATAAAAATGAAACTGTAGTGTTTGTTTAAAATGGGTCACATCTCCTGAAACTTTCTGGAGAATGCTGTACTGAGTAACAGTTTTGAGCATAAATGACTTCTGCCTTGTGTCAACATTGCCTCCAACTTGTCACCTTCCTTAACTTTTGAATATCTGCAGAAGAGAAGTCCTTGACTATACACTAGTAGCTCGCTGAAGCTGAAGTACCTGGATTACATTTACCAGCGAGCTCCTTAACAGCTTGCTTGTACCTCAGAACTGTTAAGGGTGACTGGCACTGCATGCTGGCTGTGTGAGCACAGCGCACCTTTCAGAACCAGGCTATTGTCTCAGCATGATAAAGGCCAAGAGCTAAAATCTCCCACCCCCAACCTACCGCTCACTTAAATCTTTGGACACTTAGAACATCATTACTGAACAGGCCTTCAAGTAGGGATATAAAATCTGATGTTTAAAATAGGAATTGCTTTTTAAATTTACCTCTTTCTTCACTGGCTTTGAGGGTTTTTTTGTAAAAGAGTGTATAATGCTCTGTATCCCAATGGCCAAATTTCACTTGAGAGGGAAAAAAAATCCCACTGAATTCTTACAGTGCAGCAGTGGTTTCTGAGTAAGTCAGGGGAAGAACAGAGCCCACAGAAAAGTTTTACTAACTGTAGGCCATAGCTAACAGTTCAACCTACCCCTGTGCTTCCTCCTGGTATCCTTTGCGTACTCCAGTATCTGCTATAATTACTGGTTACGAGACATGCATTGCTGGGCCCAGGGAGGGAAAAGGGTGTGGATTTTGGCCATTTACAACATGCTGCTTAGTGCCTGTCTATAGTTGAGGTGGCAGTGGTGAGCCAGTCAGCCAGTTGGGTCCTCTGACTAACGTAAGAGCGGATGGAGTCTCCAGCCAAAAGACGGTTGGGGGATTTCCCCCCAGCCCCACCCCACCGTGTTTAGTGTGTATTCTGGTCTTTGTATTGTGCATAACTTAAAAATTAAGTTTTGTGTAATACAGTGTTTTGTAAATAACCAAAAAAAGTTACCTTAATGCGAAGAGTTCTCCAATTTTCTGCATTACATCTGCATGAGACAGTTTCACCTTCCTTCGTGACTTCAGGATCTGCAGAGTAACAAGTTTCTCACTGCTTGATCAGGTAGCATGCACTAGAAGTTAAGAAGCCTGGAGTTCTACAGCCTGAAGTACGTACATGAGTTAAAATCTGAAGGCATATCATACTTACCAACATTTGAGTTTTGTTTGCTTAGTGCCTTGCTTATCTAGCTTTGTGAGAGTATCACCGTGCAACTGTTCAGCCAGGTTTTTTAATAAATCACTGAGTATGCCATCAGTATCAATACAAAATCCTGGAGCATTTTCTATGAATAATTTCCTGAACAAGAGATCATTTGTTTTTTCTTCCTGCTATTCTTCCTTTTAAGTCACAACAGTGTTCTTTTACCTTGCCACTACTTAGCCTTTTTATAGACTTTTTCCTTATAACAATGTATTGCCATTTATCTCCTTCATTAAAAAAAAAAAAAGTATTTATCTTTTGAACCCTATGAATCTCATTTCTATACGCGACATTATATGGGCTTCGTGCTTTGATTAAGTCTCATGAAAAACTGTGCTTTAAGTAATTGACTCAAACTCTTCATTATATTCAAGTTAAAGCACATTACTTTCAGCCCAAGCTGCCACACGCCATGTTTGACCAGGTTTTTAAACACTGCTTGTCCTGTTAGGCAAACACATTCAACATAGGCAGGTGACAGTGGCACAAGGGAAACGTTACTCCAATGCAGAACCCCGCGCCCAACCCTCTAAAAGAGACTGATGATTTCTTGTCCCACCACTTTGCAGGTGTTCTTGAGCTTCCCTTGAAGCTTTACCATCAAACGCTAAGCATTCAATTGGTTTTCCCGTATCTTCAGCTGTGCCTGGACTGATCTTCTACAAAGCACAGGAGAAAAGGAGGGGAGAGGTACAGACGAGAGCTCACCTCAGGAATTGACTGGATAGACTCCACAAAGTTATCCAATAACGATTCCCAAATAGCCAGCTTCACTGCAACAGGGGCGACAAAGCAGAACACTGTGAGGCACAGATATCCTTTCCAATCATCGTAACTTCAAATCTGCAAACATGCTGCCTCGAGGCACGTTCATACATACAAACATTTTTTTGTAGCACACTACTGTTAATACTATGCCATCAGTGTTCAAGCATCTGCGGACAAATCTGGGTTGGGCGCTGCTGGAGCTCCACAAGCGGCACCACCTTGACTGTAGCTCTCTTCTCCACACGATCAGTTCAGATCCTGCAGAGTCTTTGCTTCAGCTCAAAAGCTGTGTGTTTAAGTGCTCTACCCTATATACGAAGCCTTTGCAAACTACATTCCAAGGGGGCTGGAGATAACAAGCCGTGCTGACTTCATGTGGTGCCACTCGAGAATCTCCACCACATCTCTAGTGTCCTGCAGAACTCTTGCTCTCCATTTGTCCAGTACTTGTTGCAGCACACTCAGACCATGGAGAGTTCGCTTGTATAGACACACCACCTGTACTTGTTGAAGCCAAATTCAAACGTAAGCAATCTCCCATTTTGTTTCTAGGTGAATGTACTGTTCACTGAAGATACAGCTTCTCTTCTATAGAAGCTGTTCAGCACGGGCAATGGCAATGCAAATTCTACTACGCCTCAGCCTGAGCCTGGAAAGATGCTCCTCCAGGCAGATGATATAACTTAGTCCTTTGTTCTGTAGTCCGCAGATTCTCAGACAAGAAGGAAGTAGCAACAGATCAAAAATTAATCCTATTCACTCAGAAAAATTAAGCAGGGAAGATTTAATTGTCAAAACGAACTCTTCGGTGGTAGTAATTGATAGTATCATCTAGTCAGGACAATGACAGTAAATCCAATGCCGAGGATTTTTCACGCTCATCTTTTGAATACAGAGGCCTAATCCAAGTTGGTGACTTAAATGACATTTAATTTAGCCCCTGAAAAAAAGCCAATAGTCATTTCAGCTATCACCGATTATTTGACAGAGGTTGGTTTCTGCTGTGTCATAAATTTGACTTGGACTAGACTTGCATCCTTTATTTTTATTGAACATTACTGAACCGTTTTCCTTTATGATGTCCGTGTCTTGCGCTAATGTAAATTGGTACCAGTTATCTCCCGGGAATAAATCCCTTTCTCCATTATATGTGGCACCACTCTTCCATGCAGCGGCTTTATGAATAGGAAAACTACAGAGAACCAAAGGCTTTTTTTCTCAACAGCTCTTCCCTCGTCAGTCAAAAACCATTTAGTTATGCTGTACTCTTTGATCAAGTGGTGCATCACTTCAAAAACATGCATTCTGTTTCCTGATGTCCCTTCTGTTTAAAGGTGTGCTTCCCCAAATACTACAGGAATCCTGTAACTTACCCTAAAAGCCGTAGGGGCTAGACAGACCAGATTTCCTTTAAAGGTCTTTCGGAGGATGGTCTTACAGCTGCTCGCTTCTACTGCGTGTTCCCTCAAGCAGCAGCACCACTGCCGAGCCCAACTTCTTCCCAATGCCTCCCGCTGACCCCTGACAGAAGCACCACCTATGGCATGCAGCCACGGCCAAGAAGCCTGGAAAACATTATCTGTGACTCTGGTCCACACCTTGACACTGGCACACCTCCGCACCCGGCACGCTGGCATCTAGCTTTTTGTGAGAGGAATCGGCATCAGGATGAATTACCCAAGATTACTGACAGGTTTCTAACACTGACCTCTGCACTTGTTGCTATCCTAGAATAGTTCTCAACGGTGGGGAATGGGATGCTCAGGGGAATGTGTATCTTTTGCAAAGTACGTTTCTTAATGCGCTTTGTTTGTCTTTAAGATGATTTACATTGAATGAGATAATTCCAGTTTATAGAAAATAAGGTAAAAGCTTTGAAAACAAATCCTCCCACTGAAGCACAAATGCCTAAACCGGACACCGAGTCTTCTCCAACCTGTCACTGTACAAGTCCCACTTACAATGACATTTCACAAAATCTGTAGCATAGGCTGGTATTACAAACAATATTAACTCACCAGAAAGACAAAGGGCATTTGAAAAGGCAAATTTCTGTAGAACAACTTCATCGCTATCCAGCTCAGAATTTAACAAGATTTCTCCTTTATGAAGCTTTGACTGACCTCTGTTAAAACAGGATTGAAGCATCTTCATTGACTAAGCCACTGGCAAAGGCACATTTAAAGAACAATCAACAATGCAAGAAAGGTTGGTTGGTTATTTGTACAAGGCAAGCCCTATCTATATGGATATCATCCCCATCCTTGCATTTTACTCGCATTCAACCTGACAACAACCAAAGCAAATCACTGAAAATTAGTTCCTCAGTCCAAGACTAATATTATGACCAAATTTTCTAGGTTTAAATGAAAGTGCAGCAAGCATCACTGTATACACACAGATAACGCAGAGTAAGCAGGATGCTGGCCTCTCTCCTGCTCTCTACCTCCTATATTATCTCTCTGTTTCTGTTTTTCATTTATTCTGTCACTTTGATCAACATCATTCCCTCCCTGCTATGATGTTACTTTCTCCAAAACCTCTCTTGTGTAGGGGGCCAGCCGCAAAGAAAAGGGGGCATAAGAGTGGTTCAACTTATTATGTCAATCTCACTACGAAACTTGCATAAACACAATGCAATAGGTCAGGAATCACAGATTACACAACTGGATAGTACATGCAGTTTTCAAATGGCCAGGAAAAAACAAAAACCTGTCCTCAGGTTACCTTAAATAAGCTCAGCCTCATGAGCTCAGCTCCTAGTGTTATAGTGTCCTGCCTAGGAGTTGTTTTTTGGTGCTGTTGGGAAATTACAGATAATTTTTATAACATTTACATTGAGAAGTATTTCTGCAGAGATCATTTGCTCCCCATGATGAAAAAGCATTATTTAACAAGGCGGGACAACTTGCCAAGTTTATCATTCCATGGTATTCAAGTTACAACCTTCCTAACAAGTGAAATATGTGCAGAATTAAATCTTTATATATGAACCTAATGGGCACTAAGGAAAGCTTATGCAGAAAAATCCTCTTTAAAATCAGATTTGTCTCAATAACGCAAATTTATTTTTTTCTGAGGTACACTGTTTTTGTTTGGGATCGCCGAAGAACATGTTCAGTTGTGTGGGCATGGAGCTTCATAATTCACAAAATCTAGTGCATAACCAAGTCACAAAGGCCATTACTTGCAAACTTAGCAGTTCAGCAAAACTTGTCAATTTTGATTTACTGTTTTCTCCTTTCCTTATTTTACTTATTTGAAAAAGAGTAAGGAAAAGTATATTTTTACTAGCTGCTTTTGCTTGAACTTGTTTCAGATGTCTGTTAGCTTTTATATCAAGAGTGCCGGCAGATACTTACTCTCCTATTCTATAGTTCATCTCTTCATTCTCCCAATGGACGAGTGCAACTTCGTATGGCTGAATTTCATGCTGTTCTAGCACTCGCATGATATTCTTCATCTAAGAAAAAGACAATTGCACACATAGGAACAGTCACCACGCAGTATACTATCCCACTACAAAGATCTAGCATGTAATAGATTGAGGAATGCAACTTCCATGCTGAAGTTATTTGAATAACAATAAATAGGTGTGCTAAGTAATGAAGTGATTATTAACACAGTTTACTTCTGAAGCTATCTGTAGCTGTGTGGAAGAATTTGTGGCTATGAACAACTGCAAGGAATCTGTGAAGACTAAAACATCATTTAATGCCTGCATATATAAAACAGGGCAAGGATTAATCATAGCAGCAGTAAAGACAATGCGAACGTATTTTGTGTTACAACAACGCACTGTACAAGATATTGGCAGATGTCTTGAGTGTGGGAATAAGTCTTTAGGGTAAGTACATCAGGTGGGTGTTTCTGCCAAGATTACTAGTTTGCTGCTAAAATCAATAGTTTTGTTTCAGCTACCAGAGGTTGGGTTACATTACAGAAATCCTTTACAGAATTGTTTAAAAATGGTTTCAGCTGCCCATATTCAACCCTGTAAACAGTTAAATGTACAATTTTACTTGCAGAAGTAATATAATTTTTCATTTTATTCTCAAGCACACTAAAACCTGATGCAAGAAGAAAGAGCCCTTTTCTCTCACAAAACTTTCTCCTCTGACATATGACTTAGAATCCCTCATCCTTGTTCCTTTCGATGTGCTACAAGGCTCCTTCATGAAAATCATTCTGCAATTAGAGCAAATTCTGAACTAAAAAAAAGCACTCATCTTCAGTTTTTTTAAAGGCATTTAGCTACACAGCAGCCAATAAAAAAAGAAACCCATGAAAACACAATAGACTTGATGCCTAAATTCTTTAAAGAGGATAATCTTCTACAAAGTCATACTTAAAACACTCTCTTCAAAAGAATAGAGAATCATTAATCTTTTAGTGCAAAACTGTATGCTAGCAAATTGTTCACAAAGAATATTCTCCAGGTTAAGCACTCAAAAAAAAAAATAATCTGTTCGATCGCCTGCAAGAGGTATTTTCTTTGCAGTGCTAACTTCCTTCATTGTTTTCAAGAATTTTGGTGGTACTATCTGCGTAAAACATGATAACATTTATCACTAAAAACACCTCAACGCTACCGCTGCAACTGCTTGTTTCATAACCCTGATTTTAATATTAGCATGGCTCCCCCCTGCCATATATTCCAAGTCTTGTGCTAAAAAAGGGTATGAAAAATTATTTTCATTTCTTAAGCAAGGAAGCATCTGCTGTTAGGCCAGTCAGCTTGGCCAACCAGCCACGCCGTGTCCAGGGACAGTTCTGCAACGCAAACCCTGCTAAAACAGTGCCAGTGTTAACAGGCAGTCCCTAACGGAGCACACCAGGCTTCAAGAGTGTGTTCTCTTGGATCCAGGTGCTCTAGCTGGCTTCGTGAAATCATTACTAATACAGTAGTAATTATGCTGTTAATAGACTAACAGTCCCTTCCAGAACTACAACCAGCTCAGGCCTCCCAGGGCCAGTACAGAGCAAGATTTAATGAAGCTTTACAGACTATAACCGATTCTGTGCAATTCGTGTGTCTTGTAATATGCGTAACTTCCAAAGTTCCTGCATTGCTCTGGATAATGAGAAATTGTATTTCAGTGGCAGCTTGCTTCTGTCTAATCAGAGTAATACAAAGGCTTCCACTGACTGATGCAAGCTTCTTCTAGGCCCAGCCTAATTTTATAGAAGGGGCTACCTGTGACACAGTACATTTACTGAGAAGAGTTGCCTGGATTCACCAAATACAAACTCTTGCTATTACAGGCAGTCACGTCACACAATTTCCTTTCAAGAAATCAGATGAAACTCTACCTCAAAGCTAGTTTTGCTTTTTGCCCCTGCTATTTTTGGCGGGGAAGCAGTTGCACAACCTCCCTACTCGGGTATTTTAAAACAGTGTTTTTCATTTTAAATGTCTATTCATGATCGGTCTGTAGTTATTACGTCTTCTGTTAAGTGTCCATTAGTTTAAAATAGTTTTTCTTCTCCTAACAGTCATTCTGGAGTACTTTTAAAAAGCCATTTTGTCACAGTGATTCTCTACATTCTGTTTTACTGAATTACTTTCAGTTTCTGTTTTACAGACCAGTTCGGTGGCTTTTTTTTTCGTTTCAGTTCATTAAAACGTGTGCATAAAAAGACCTCCTCGCTTTGAGCAAGTTGTTTGGAAGTGAAAACTTTTTTAAAAAGCAGAAAGAGGCAGTTTGGATCAACTAAAGGTACTGGTATTGACAAGAAAAACGTGGTATCAAATTTTCAAAGGTCCTTAAGCATGTACAACAAACAGGATTTTTCAGAGTACTCCAGTGGGCAGAGGTGCCCAACTCATAAAAATCAACAACAGTGTTTTTCATTTTAAATGTCTATTCATGATCGGTCTGTAGTTATTACGTCTTCTGTTAAGTGTCCATTAGTTTAAAATAGTTTTTCTTCTCCTAACAGTCATTCTGGAGTACTTTTAAAAAGCCATTTTGTCACAGTGATTCTCTACATTCTGTTTTACTGAATTACTTTCAGTTTCTGTTTTACAGACCAGTTCGGTGGCTTTTTTTTTTCGTTTCAGTTCATTAAAACGTGTGCATAAAAAGACCTCCTCGCTTTGAGCAAGTTGTTTGGAAGTGAAAACTTTTTTAAAAAGCAGAAAGAGGCAGTTTGGATCAACTAAAGGTACTGGTATTGACAAGAAAAACGTGGTATCAAATTTTCAAAGGTCCTTAAGCATGTACAACAAACAGGATTTTTCAGAGTACTCCAGTGGGCAGAGGTGCCCAACTCATAAAAATCAACAGGAGTTAGTCAGCTAGTCTTCAGTAACACCTGTGCATCAGTAGCATCAGTTACAGCCATAGCATCCTAAGTGTGCTACAGGCAAGGTTTGAAGGGAGAACTAGTAACCTTTTGTAGGCCAGCTGATACACTGAACCCCCCCCAAACCAGACAGGAAATCAGGAACATTTCGTGTCTGAAATAGAAAAAGCGAACTTGAATCCAGAAATAACACGTCCGGAAACAACTGCTCTGTATTTTCATTCACCTTAGAGAAAATCCTCCTGTGAACTTCTGTGCATTTCAGTACCATCTACTTAATACGCTGTTCAATTTCACACACTCTGCCTACAGATAAGTTCGATACTTTTTCCCTTTGTATCTAGAATCCAGTTGTATTTAATCACAGTAATAAAAATCAATATATATATACAAAAAATTATATAAATATGTTCATAAAAATAGATATGCCCGTGGCATATCCCTCTTGCTCAGTAAAGAGCACCAAGTTATCATAAGGCATATGTCATTTCAATATCAACATATTCTAACAATTATACCAACCAATAAAAATCTGCCTTCAGGAAAATTGCTAACTAGTAGAAACACAACACAATATTAAAAGTTGCTTACAGATTTTATCTCTTTCCAAATTATCCAGACATAAGTTTTGAATAGTTTTGACTTAAATGGCTCTAGAATGATCCTTGTCTTCTAGCACGTTTTCTGTTACATTAGTGCCTTTCAACCAACCATTCACAGGCTGATTTTTCTGATCTACTTCAGGATGTAGAGCTGCAAGAATTTTCCTTTTGTCAATCTCACTAGATTAAGTTTTCAGATTTTTAGCCTTAAGTAGAAAACTTTATCCACTTTGTACGTTCCACGTATATTTTGCTCGTTCTGTGCAGAAAGTCAAGTTGCAAAGGTGACCTATCAGCAACCCACACACTTGAGGGCAGCAGCAGGCAAGCACCTGCACTCATTTGAGGAAGAATCAGTCCCTTGCTGTCACAGAGAGATCCACGCTCCCAAACAAAGCCCAGGCATGCTGGATTTTGTAGGACTGACAAAACATCCGCTTATGACGTTTTAACAAACAGTTTTGTTTTACTTACACTTTTCTCTTCCACATTCCAAAACACAACAGCCCCTTCCCTGTGAATTCAAGGAAAAACTGAGGTGTAATGATACTGTTTTAAATGTAGTTCAATGCAATATTCAAATTGTACAGTGGCAATTTTTGTCACTGTGAATCAAAAAACTTAAAACTATCTTCACAAAATCTATATAATAGTTGCTTTTTAACCATAATTTAATGAAGAAAACATGAGAAGATAACTTATTTTTTAACCATTTAAATAATCCTGTTTTTTTTCTTAATCATTCTGCTTGGACAGTTATTCCTTGAGTTTCATGAGGTAATACAATGCAATGATCTAGCAAGCTGCACTACTTCTTTCACATCGTTGCTATTAATAAAATAATGTTTTGGGTATGATTTATAACGTACCTGAAGAAAAAAATCATGCCAGGATCATCATCTTTTGCAGATTTCTCAGTACCAATCACCAAAACATTTGCAGCATCTAGTTTGAAATAAATGTAAAAATGTAAGGATTATTCAAATTTCTAAAGATGATAGCTATAAACATATAATTCCAGTTTAACAGTTACACGCTAACACATCAGTCAGTCCCATATTTTATTTTTCTGATGGAAATCCTTGCCAGGAAACAACTACAATATCAAACTATACCACTTCTCTAGACAGACTCAGCCACTATGTTGAACTTCACTGGGCTCCTTAGTTAATGAAATGTAACAGTTTTGAAGAACAAAAAGACTTAAGGGAAAACTGATGCAGGGCATATTAAATAACCAGGAACTGAATACAGAAGTGGACACAGAACCTGAGTGGCCTATGGAAGTCTGCCCACAGTTGCAGAGAAATTACCATTCAAATCTGCTCGCCCAGAAGATCTTTCTCTTTTCTATACAGCAAGGTACTCATCTGCACTCAAATTTTGCTGACTTCGCTTTGATAGTCAGAAACTTGAAAAAGGATACCCCCAAGACAGGAGAAGGTACATCTGCATTCTCCTTCGGATTGGAAGCATGCTTTTGAAATCAATCTTCCAGCCACCCTCATTTACCACACTTCTGACGTACACTGCAGAACAGTGTCAGAGCACACAAACTGGATTTTTTTTTTTGCATTAAACTGAAAGAACAGCTCCAAAAATGCACCTGTGGTACTCCAACCACTAACAAGCACTTGTTACAAAGGACCAGACTTGAGCTACTGTAAGTAAAATGCCCCAGAACTTACAAAATGTGGATAATGGGTTCTCAAAACAGGGTTTTGCTTTTTTCCCCTACAGGTCTGCTCCACTCTATTACTCGCTAACCCAGAAAAGTTTTAGAAGTCCTGATGTGGTTTTGACAAGAAAAGGCTACCTTCCAGCATGACTCATTTTGTTGCAGAACTAGTGGAAGCTAGACCAGCGGAACCCCCTACCTTTGTTATAAAGCGAGACTCCACAAAGAGAAATTTGCAGGGCCTAATGCCCAAGCCTTAGAAAGTTCAACCCCTTTGCAGAAAAATCACAAGTCAAGCAACAAGGCACCAAATTCAGCCTGTGTATGAAGTCCACTCTGCTCTACTGCTTGAGCCTTGGCAGGCCAAGGGAGAGATGACCAAGTATTGGATATAGTTTTGCTAATATCTGAACTGAAACCACACAGTTGGTCTGTATGAACTCTTTAAAGACTTGTCTTTCACTGGCTACTCCAGTTCAGAAACATGTGATTTGACGAATCACTAGAGCAAGTTTTGGGTGTGAAGCTTGAGTTCACCATGGAAGAAACATTGGTCTGCATTTTACCATTTGCCTTTTCAAATATCACCCTTATCCTTATGCACTCCAGCCACAACATACACAACTGAAGAAAATTTGGTCCGCTGTAAGTGGAGGTACAGGATCTGCCTCTAAAATGTTTTTAAAGAGGTCAAGGAGGAGAATAATGCTTAGGAAGAACACTATGAAACCACACAATAATTGCTGATTTAGATTTCTATGTGCTAATATTTTTCCATTTTACAAGATTCAATGTTTGAGTTGATACCCAACCACTGCTACATGCACAGCCAACTACCACAACACATCAGATCTGCTGGCACAATCCAACCTGCTTTCATCATTACTTCCTCCAAGCTTTTGATAAACAGAGTATCTATTGTGAGGAGTCAAATACACACCATGAAGAAATGAAAGAACTGGCAAAAGCCACGCTCCCAGGGCAAAATACCAGCAACAGCACCATTTGCCTTGCAATAATTCAGTCATGCTGGGGACTGTACAAAGTTTCTATCCTGAAGCTGTGAAACCACCATTGGTTTTAATGCAAAGAAACCATATAGCAACACTAAGCCTATATTCTACAGCACCTCGTCTTTCCATGTTCATCTTTCTGAGCAAGGTGATCATTAGTAAATCTTGTGTTTAAGAGAGACCCACCAGAGTATTATTGCACTTGGATTATTAAGTGTTTGAGAGGCAGCCTGATATTTGATAACCTCTACTGAAATGCCCATAACTACTATCCGTCATTCTCTTAGCTTCATATAATCTGTTCATTCAAAGGAAAGAAAAAAAAAAGCATTCTACTGCCAACATATGAAAATCACAGCTGTTCTAGGGCATAAGGTTCCTTCAGCTATAAAAAGCTCCACTTGTTTTTCTCTTGTAGTATACTTCAGCTATTACCAAGCCATACTGTCCCAAGTCTTCAGAGATACTTTGTACAGAAACCAGAACCAATTATTTTGCTGAAGCCTAAGTGAAGCATTCAACAATTGCTAGGATATATTTGGCCCAATTAAAAATAACAACAACAACAAAAAAAGTATCAACTGCATTCTCTTTTCTAGAACTAAGCGTCTATGGGTATATCTTTTTCATTTCACTTAGTCAGCAAGATTCTCTCTTGCATGTCTTCCTCTCCAACCCTCAGTGATTTACATTAATAGAAGTGTGGGTATTGAAAGAAGATGCAACAGTTCAAATTAGAAAATTGTTTTGACAGCTGAAGCACATTACCGAAAGATTAATGAAAATAAAGAAAACTTCCAGAATTTTTTCAGTTAGCAAATTTCTATAGAAATTCTTTGTATCAGAAGATTTCCAAGTTTATTTTTCCTGCATGCATCTAATTTTTCAATACGTTAGTATTACAATTAGTGTAATTGTAATTTGGGGAAAAATTATCACAGGGTAACAGCAAGTGCTGGCTATATTGCTATTCTGAAAGGTTTAGTGTGGTGTTTTTTAAGCAAATGGAATTTTTAAGCAAAGCAGTATTTTTATAGGCAGTATGATATATTCGGAGGTATTATCAGAATAAGAATACATGAGTTATAAAAGTTATATACCTCACCCATATTTAATTTCCCAAGGTATAACATTGCTTTTAATATGTTTCAAAAATCTACCTCTAGGCAAACTTGTTATTTCAACATATCCATGTGAAGTCAGGTCATGACACAGATTACCGAGATGATACTCATCTGCTGTTGCAAAGGCTGTGCACTGCATCAGATTCTGTGCCAAAGGAATAAAGATTTGAGTTAGGGAAAGGCCGAAGCAAGATGTTCATAAGACAATCGTTTGCCTCAAATTTATCATGAGTCTGATATTTTTCATGTATTCACTCTGTTCTATGACATCATTGCCATGCTGTCCGCCTGATGCACAAATACTCATGAGATTACTTGATCCCTGTTAAGCAGGAAAGCAAATCACAAACTGAGATCAAACCAGGTAACGTGAGCAAGTCGCACCAAAAAACCTTTGTGACAGAGCCACTAAGTGAACCCTTCTTCCCTGAATGCCAAGCAAACGCTTTAACAGTAGAGCTACACTTGCTACTGCTCTCCCATCCTACAGCTTGCTGACCACCGAAATCAAAAGGAAGACACCCCCAGTATCAGCTTTAAGATCTGTATTTTAAAGATAAATGGAATTCAACTACCCCAGCCTGCTTATCAAACAGAAGCTGCAACTGCAAGCAGCACGTTCTTCCAAGCACAAAGCTCACTGCCCAGGTAAGCCCCAGGCTCCGAGCCAACTTGAAGATCTTCCTGGCCAGCTGTAGGAGCTGCAGATCTACCCTGTCCCCCCTGAGCTGAATCTTGCACTAACAACACAGTCTCAACTGATGCCACAGTTGAACATCATAAAACAGCCAGAGTTTGTCTCAATATTCCACAATCATAACTAAAATGCCATATTGAAACAAATGACTAGAAAAATGATACTGACTTGCATGCAATGAGACTGACTCATGCATGGCAAAGAAATCAGAGTCATCTGCGTAAAGATTTTCTCAATTAATCAAACAAAAAAATAAACCAATGTACAAATTCTACTACTCATTTTAACTGGATTTCTTTGTTCTGATACCATGTATGTCCCATGATAATGTTTTTCAGTACAATGCAATGGAAGATATCCAGAAAGCAATTGCGGATCAGTCACTTCCCAGCTTTTTGTAACTAATACAAATGGGGATGTAACTAACAACAAATGAACAAAAGAACTGTACTCATCTGCAAGCATTTATACCCACAATACACTTCAGCTTAAAATCCAAATTATATTCTCACAGCGTTCATAACACTATCAAACAGCAAGGCTTAAAAAGGTGCTCTACACTTTGGGGGAGCCCGTTACCAGTCATCAGAATCATGTCCACACATTTAAACCTTCTTTTCTTTTTTAACATTAACGTCCTGTTATCATTTCCAAAGCTTTGCTTACACATCATCTTAGTTCAGTGATCACTAAGAGAAAATAAACTTTAAAAGTAATTACAATATTCAGTGAGAAATTTTGTAGGCATAGTTCCACGACTGTGCTATGAGGCTGAGTTAACAGTAGAACAGAATTGTGTTTTCAGTTCCCTTGCTGCACTACCTTTGAAAAGCTGCATTATCAAAATTTCACCTGTACAAATCCATTCTCAATCTCTAAAGTGCCAATGCAAATATATATTTCGGATTCTTCCAGAAAGCTTTGGTTATTAGAAGTACACATGCTCTGCCATGAAACTCTTCTGTCAAGAGCTAAGGGAGCAAACTTACCTTCTAGCTAGTATATAATCTCAAAATCTCCATCCTGCTCTATGCTTTCCATAGTTCATTACTTGTGCTATTGCCCATTTCAAGGCAGGTGTACTACAGGACAGACCTTCAGTCTTACTGCTGCAATTTCAGTTTCAACATAAAGACTTCACATTTAGTTAGAACCAGAAGTTTGCTGCTAAGACTATATGCCTGAAATAGCATTTTGGATATGCACTAGTTTGCTTTTTTACAATGCACACTTTCACTTAAATTTTTACTAAAATCTTTTTTGATGAGGAACATTTGGATTGGGTGTAATTTGAGATTAAGACACCTAAAATAGATGTGTCCACAGGCACTCCTAATGTCTAAGGTCCCATGATAGTTGGTAGAGTTATAGCCAAAAAGTCTATACCCTAATGAGTGATTCAGCTAATCCCAAAATAGACGTGCTAACTGGCCAGTCAACCTTAATCTGCTGCTTTCTGCTATGTCACTTTCACCTGCAAACTTCAAAATAACAGACTACAAGATCTGTACCGGAGCTGGAAATAAACTCCAGCTACTCACCGCCCTCCTCCTTTCTGCCTACAGCCAGGGCTTCATTGAGATTCCATCTAGAGCACTGCAACAGTTGTCCAAGTACCCATCCTAAGTACCCCAACAACTCACTTTCCGGATCCTCACGCCCCAAACAACTGCACAGGCTCATGGAACCATCATTCTCCTCAGCCCATCCCTTCCATTTTAAGCATACAATAATTTTTAAGAAAGAAAACCTGCAGGATGAACTTGAATTCTCACATCACCATAGGAATCAGTCTGTATCTTAAGGATAGTAAATAGTACATCTTTACTTGATTTTCAAGCTTTTTCCAGACTACGTGACTACAGTATTAAAAATTAGCTCAGAGGCTTTTCATGCCATTGGACTTTACGTGATGAACTGAACTGAGTAGTGGTACTACTCACTGATGGACTGACTAAACCAGTTAGCTGCTTTTAAGCAACTCCTCCACCTACCCTGAAAAACTGGTCTCACGACCATTTCTCATTGCTGGTGCTCAGCACTCTGCCTGTAAACAACACGTGAAGACCAGTGCTGGAGAGGGGTGGGGAGGACCTCACTCAGGAACAGTTCTGCAAAAGAAAGGTGCCAACTATCAGGCCCTCCCAGGCAGAAGACACCCAGAGATCCACAGGGTTCATCTTGGCTGAGCACCGTGCAAGTGGACCCAGAGCGAGTGCCTCCGGGGCAGACAAGGAAGGAGAAGATGCAGCAGCCTGCCCCTAGGTACCTGCTCTGGCAATTGGGCCCGCGTTACCACAGGGCTCCTGGTTGCCTCCACACAAACACAGGAAGGCAAGGTCAGCTTTGTCGTGACACCAGGATTTAGAGAAAACTGACGGTGTGCTGAAAAAAAGCCTTGAGGATTCTCCATTTGCTCTACGACCTGCAGAAATCAGCCACGTCTTTAAGTTATCTCTGTACTACACATCTATAAGGAAATACACAAACAGGTAAAAAAACCCCCACTTATTCCAAAACACGTCAGCCTGCAGTTGAGGTGACGGCCTGTCTGTACACCTGTAGATGGGGGTATATATCTGACAAAACCACACGGCGTTTATTCAAAAATAGCAAATGTTTTTGTTAGGTCTGAGTTTGTGTGATTTCTGGCACAGCGTTGTGCCATATGGAAGCTTCCTCAGAAAGTACGTTATTTTTTCAGTACACCAGGCAGGATTTTCTCCATGTCTTCACAATGGAAGAAAGAAAAAATAGCAGTGCATGTTACTTGCATGCATATACATGAAAATATCAAAGAAACCGTTTGCATTCTATGCTGCCATTTAAAAGCCTCAAGAATCTAAAAAAATGTCACTTCAATTCACCCAATAACAAAAAGAAGCAACCTCTGAATGTAATGTCATAGCACGAATAACAAGCTTGAAACACTACACAGTGTTTCAAGACTAATATTCTTCTCTTTCTTTTTTCAAAGCAATGGGAAGATACAAGTGGGAACTAAATTGTCTATAATGGAGTCATCATGTTATGTTAAAGCATACTCCTGCTCACCATGCAAAATATTGAACAGAAGCTTAGACAACGAGGAGGCAAGCATTAAAACTTCAGTTTCTGTGCTCACATTCAGTAGATCGTGTAATAGATATATTTTGCAACGTGGAAGCTAGTTCTGGAAGCACAACACTTGTTTCAGTCTCATTTATAATACTATGCTATTAACAATACCCTGGAACTCAGTCATTGTTACAGCTTGAGGAGAGCAGTAACACTTTGACACCAGGATTTTTCTTTCCTGGAGATCTTACATTGAAGTATGCTTAAGGTCTGCCTTGGCTAGTATTGAGGCTTGCAAAGAACTATCTTAAGGAGAAACAGCCACAAGTATGCACAGTTCCACTTAATCATATCTCATTTTATCCAAACCAGTTTGTTGTTGCAGTTACTCTGTAGACCTAGGATTCTGGAGATCAAGGTGCTATTTCTACACATGGAATAATCTTCCTCAGGTAACACAGGCTACATCTGCACCTCCGTTTCCTATCTGAAACTTAATCTGAATCTAAACTTTATACTATTTACTTTCGATTTCTGTTTGAGTGAAGCATTAAAACTGGGTAGAATTGGACAAGCAAGGATACCTAGGGAAAGTTACAATTATGCTGAAAGCTAGACTTTGTTTCTCAGTATTAAATGTGATTCGAGAGCACTGGTTAAAATTCTTTCCAATGGATTTTGTCTTTCCACTTTAATGACCACTTATTGTCCCTCCACTTTTTTTTTTTACATATTGCTGGTAAATCTCCACTTTATCTTCAAAATACGAGACACACTAGTTTCTATAAAGCTTTTTTCTGTTTCCAGAGTTCCAACTTCTTTGTGGCTGCATTAGGGTAAATAATGAAATCCTCCTCACCAAATAAACATGCTAATTCCATTAAAATGTTAATCTGAACTCAAATCTGAATCTAAATTAATTTGACGAAGTTCCCTTAATGTTATACAGACTGTAAATTTTATACTTTACCTCCATGTCTGACAGTAGCGGCTGGTTAGTTCTGGATGGCTGCTTGGTCCTTGGTGCCTTTGGTGGCCTCTTAACTAGCTGGTTACTTTGTTTTGGAATAATTTTACCAGCTGGTACAACAGAGTAAAATCTTGATGAGATGTTCCTAAGCTTTTTAATATGCTCTGTATTGAGGTTGTAGTTTTCCATCATCGCCACACCAAAACATTTCCAGGGTGGAAAAAACCCCTCCCCACTCTGATAATAAGCATTTTTTCCCAAAGCCGATACATTTCCTTGGAGCAATTGACAATTCTTGACTTGCACACATCGACTTGTCAAACAAGGGGAAGCAGTTTTCAGAGCATACAAATTCCAAGACTTTGCTGTTCTGTCAGCTGTTCCGTTAACTGTTCCGTCAACTTCATTATCCAGTTTTAATAGTGGTCGTCGAGTTTTATTAAAGCTTTGGCATTGGCATATTGTTGTTAAAGCGTGGAAAGATCTAGTCTGAAGGCGCAGAAGTTTCAGTCTCATTGCTTCCCTCAGAGCTGTATTTAAAACAAACAAAATCATCCATCAACCCTTTGAAAAGAAGTAATATTATTTTCCCCTTATCTAAAAGGTGACCCATACTCCTTTTGCATGTTAGTACTCCCAAGCACATAAACATTGGTGGGATTAAACAGTTTTTTTCCCAATGACATGGAAATACTCTAATTAAGATCAAAACACAATATGGAGCTGTGTGCTTGCAACACATGGTGAAAAAGTAGAACTGGTTGCTATGTCGATATGGAAACAGGCATTTTTTCCTTCAGTTGCTCATTCTGTGTAGCAGTCTGCACTCTCAGTAACCCCACTGACGAAATTACTCACGAGCAAGCACACACCTTCAAGAGGACATCAGACTGTGAATCATTACTTTATACGCAATAAAACCAACACTTAGATTACTATGCACTCGTACGGGAACGTCACCTCCGGAATACACATGCTGATCAGCATCAGCTCAAACTGCTGTACCGCAAACAGCTGAGCACGGATCCATCCAGCTCCGTTCACCTGTCTTGACCAGAGCCAGAGCTGAGTCAATCAGGTTACAGTCTTGATCCTGCAAGTGCATATTGGTGCAACAGGGACCGCCCAGGCTGACTGCAGCTCTGCCTGCGCTGGCGGAAACACGACAGTGTCCTTATTCTGTTATTCCGGACTAAGAGCAAGCTTATTGTACTTACACTACGCTGTATGAACTAATCAAGTAAACTTTACAAGTATTCACAGACAGCAGACTGAACAGCTCAGTGGGTGTGTTTCACTTGCTGAAAAATCACAGCGTCAAGTCCCTGCCCCCATCTCCTTTATTAACCAAGAACACTTCCCTCGTGACACAAAATCGAACTTTGTCAAGCTATTAACAAAAAAAAAAAGCCATTAAGTTGTACAGTTTGAAAAAACGGCCAATTTTAGAATATTTCTGAAAAAACTGTGTGAAGAAGGATCTTCAGCACCATGCATACATTTAACACAATAGTTCAAATAAGCATTTTCTTGTGAGAACAAAACACCGTGTACTGACTGGAACAAGCCCTCCATCCTGACAAGTATACCTAGATGCTAGCGCAATACATGCACAACTTGAAAAAAACCCCAAACTAAACCTCGCCCTGACATAACTAAATGGGATTAAACTCCTTCTGGTTAAAGAGGCATACTACAGTTCTACCAAAAAAAAAAAAAAAAAAGGACATAAAACACCTTTAGGCTACCACAGATAATATTGGGCATAATTTTATATGCTCTTCACTTGTAGATGTTTTCCCAATCTGTAAGCCTGTTATTTGCATACTTATTAGAATAATCTAATTATTATTTTCAGTTTAAACTTCTCCTGTATTTAAAAGGCAACCCAGAACACCCTGCCCAGGACAAGGCACATTCACCTTTTTAAAGGCCTGTTACCGCTGGGTAATCAATAGAGATTAAAAACTCAGTGGCTGCAACCCAAGGTGGTCAGGAGCCAGGACGAGGGGAGAAGCCTCCGGCAGCACTGGGTAACTGGTGGAAAGCGGGGCCAAGCCCCTACTTCCCCAGCCAGCAAACCCTCGTGGCGAATCACAGCGATCCCAGGGGTGATTTTTCAACTGACCACATGGGCTCAATTCCACGGAGAGGCCTTCACGCCAGGCCGGTAGCAGCAGAGGGCCCTGGCCAGGAACGGCGGAACAGAGCAGCCCGGGAAACCAGCGGGACCGAGGGCTACTGCAACGGCAGCGGCTGC